ATCTTCCAGGATTGGATTTAATGGGTCAGATGAATGCCTGTTAATTCGAGCTGAGGGTACCCCTTTCGGCGCCGGTACTTCTTTTCCACACAAGGAGTAAGGGAAGCCAACGGGAGCATTTGTTTCTGTTGACCTCCAACTGTGTAGGCAGTGATTTAAGATACATTGACTGCAGCTACGTATCTTAAGTCATCCTTCCCCTTTAGTATAGACATGCCTTTAGTGTGCTACTACTAGGTCTAGTTATCAGATGAGTAGCAACACTAACTATTCCAACCAAACAGCAGCACATGCTGCCTCCAAAATGGGCACTGACTGCACACTGGCACAGTTTTATACTGACTATTTTCTGGGCAGATTATCAGTCAGTTTCCTGATTTTGGATGGGAAAGGGAGCCCAAAATTAACAGAGTAGATAAAAGGGGTACCAAATGTGGACTCCAACCAGTTGTTACAGGAAATCCAAGATGGTGTATGCAGGAAAATAATATAGAAAATTCCCCTGTACCAACAATAGACTTGCAACCCCCTTTTGCACTGAGAACTCATTTAAGAAATGCATCCAGAGAGTAAAAGTACACAAAAGGGGGGGGGGGGGGGGGGGGGGTGTCAATTTTCATGTTCCATGACGAGTTTTCACAGCTGTGCATTTGGTAGAACCCTATTTATTAACCTTGCCATATTACATATTTTGCCTTTGGTCTTGTCAACACACAAATATTGCACCAATGTAACTAAAAACTGATCTATACTTAAACGTTTTACCAAGAGGGGGGGGGGTATGTCAACATAATTATGTTAGTAAAAACCCCAATGTCAACAGTTACACTTGTATGTAGATGCCTTATGCCATTATAGTTTATTCTTGTCCTCCAAACTCCTCAGTCCCAGTCTAGAACATTCTCCTGCATCCCAAAACTCTCCTCCCTGACTCCACACCAGAGCTGGCACCTCTCCAGCCAGAGCCCTCACCCCTCTCACATTCCAACCCACTGCCTCAGCTTGAAGCCCCCTCCCACACTCTGAACCTCTCATCCCCAGTACTAACCCAGAGTACCACCAGCCAGAGCCCTCATCTCCTCCCATACCACATCCCCCTGAGACAGGTCAATGAAAATAAGCAAGTGAATGAAGGTGGGGAGAGCTAGCAACAGAGACATGGAAGATGGATTGAGTAGGCGTAAGGCCTCAGTGAAGGTGTGACACATGGGCAGAGGTGAAAGTGAATTGGTATAGACCAGTATGGGGTACTGGTGAGACATGGCCACAAGTACCAGCCCATACACAGATGTGCACAGCCTGTTTTAATGTCACTGGCCCTTTTGCCCTCCCTCCCAACCACTAGGGTTGCCATGTGTCCGGTTTTGAACCAGACACATGGTATTTGAGCTTTCTGTCCGGGAAACAGATTGGCTACGTCTACATTGGCCCCTTTTCCGAAAGGGGCATGCTAATCTGACAGGTCGTAATAGGGAAATCCGCGGGGGATTTAAATATCCCCCACGGCATTTAAATAAAAATGTCCGCCGCTTTTTTCCGGCTTTTAGAAAAGCCGGAAAAGAGCTTCTACACTGGCCCCGATCCTCCGGAAAAAAGCCCTTTTCCGGAGATCTCTTATTCCTACTTCAAAGTAGGAAGTAGGAATAAGAGATCTCCAGAAAAGGGCTTTTTTTCGGAGGATCGGGGCCACTGTAGACGCTCTTTTCCGGCTTTTCTAAAAGCCGGAAAAAAGCGGCGGACATTTTTATTTAAATGCCATGGGGGATATTTAAATCCCCTGCGGATTTCCCTATTACGATCTGAAAAATTAGCATGCCCCTTCCGGAAAAGGGGCCAGTGTAGACGAGCCCGGGGCTATACATGTTTTCAAACTTCTCTTATGGTTTGTTTTCACATGTAGTGCTGCAGCTGAGCCTCTGTAGTGTTTAAGTGAAGATGCTCCTACACTGATGGGAAAGCGTCTAAGAGTGGCATAGGTAATTCACCTCCCTGAGAAGCAATAGCTATAGTGATGGTAGAACTTCTACCAACTTAGCGCAGTCGACAGGGAGGAAGGGTAAGGCTGGTATAACTACGTCACTCGGGGTCCCTGCCGGCCGGCCCTCCTCCTCCCCCCACATCTGAGATCAAATGTGTCCGGTATTTTTTTTAAACCATCTGGTTACCCTACCGACCACTGACCCCAGAGCCCAGTAATTTAAAAGGGGCCAGCAGGCTTCTGGCTGCCACTATTGGAGCCCCAGGCTCTTTGAATCACCAGTGTAGCCCCAGGCAGTGCTATACAGTGGAAAAGAGCTGGCTGGAGGATGCTCACCCCGATATCCCCATCCCTGCTGCCCAAAGCTTTGTCTCTTTAGAGTCAGGCCCTGTACTTGCCAGATTTTTAAATTACATTCAGTCCTGGGCATGGGGAGGACCTCAGAGGAGGAGCTGGGTGGGCAAGGGTGTTCAGTTGTGTGCAAGTAAAAAGTTGACAATCTTAAATGGCAAGACCTCTGACTCTAGTGAAAGCTAGACTGGTGGTATCATTGATTGCTGGTTATTGCCAAAATCTGTGATGATTCAAATCCAAACAATCCTATTTATTTCAATGGAATTGTACTGGGTATGTATCCGTGCATAATTATGCTTTTAAATGGCTAGTTTAATACTTGTTAGGCCAAATTCAGCTCTGGTATAAGATGGTACAACTCCATATCATGGGATCTATACTCATAATAAAGCTAAATCTAACCTGTGGGGGGGAGGGTTAGATTCAATAATGGAATTTTAACATTTCCATTTCCTTTTGTTGTTGCTGTAGTTCAAATGTAGAGACTTTAAGTTGCATTAGTGTAGGTTTTATTATTCAAGTGGCATACAAGCTAATTTCACCAAAGATAGTTTAAAAAAAAGTTTGTAAAATACTTTTTTTGGTAGCATTGCAAATATTTTCTATGTTAAAAATGAAATAAATAGCAACAATGTTCACAGGGATTGCAAATCATTGCTTGAGAGGTGAGGGCAGACTGACAGTGGGGATTTCTTTGCTGGTTAATGGACATGTTCATAAAGCAATATGAAGAACAAGTTACTTCCAGACACAATAGTGTGTACTTTGAGAACAATTTATAGGTGTTTTTGTGGCAAGAGAAGGGAATCACTGTTTCTGTAGTTATGTATTTATTGTGCTTCATTGTCTTCTTTACCTTTTTACTTTTGTTTTGAACCAATAAAGCGTAAAAGTTGTCCTTGGCTGAAAAAGATGTTTTTATACATATTTGATATACTATGTTACCCTGCAGTGCTGGGATAGAAAAAAGAATCCTTCTTTTTGACCTGATCTTTGAGCAATGTTGTGAGTCCTCCTGATCCAACCTTAAAATGATCCCAAAGCTTTTCAAGCTTTGCCCTCTATAAGAATGTGGGGGTGAGGGATGGTAACAGAAAACTTTCCTGAGATAGTCTCCAAACAAAATGCATTCAGTTTAGAGCAGTTCATCAATCCCTTCTTTGTAAATGGACTCAATCAAGTTTATTCAGTCCTTCATTCAATCCTGGGCAACCGGCGACCTCTATGGGTGAATTTATAAAATAAACCGGAGGACAAAGAAGTCTGCAAGTCATCGCACATTATGCATGGGCAGATTAATGAGGCAGACCACTCTTCCCGTGCACTTTCAATTCGTTTTCCTATTTAAAATCCCGAATAAAGTACTCTTACTTATATTCTTTAGAGTACCAAATCAGACCTGCTTTAAAGTTGTTAAAAGGCTGTAACAGAGAAGTATTGGCGCCGAATAAGAACAAGGAAGAATAACTAGAAAGTTGTCCGTAAATGGTTTTAAAACATTCGAATTTAAATGTGCAATGTTCTGAATACAATATCTCTGTGGAGTGGGTAATATACTTGGTAATAAAGTAACCCCCTTTTCTCTTTCGTCTGGAGTTAGACAAGCGTACAGCAGAGTGACAAGAAATCACCGAGAGGGGAATCTCAGTGCCAGGAAATGGTTTGGAAACAGATTAGTATTCTGGTTCATTTCGTTTCCATGACAGGAAACAGTTTTGCTAGACAGTATTTTGGAAGCGCTATTAATTTTCACTCGTGAGGAAAAATGTTTATCAGCGAAAGACCATACCTATGAACATAAATTAAGGTCTGTTTAAGTGCTGTAGCATGTAACACGTTTTATACAGAAACATTGGCTGTGCCACTTTAACATTTTCTCGATTACGTTTTATAATTAAATTAAAATCTGAAGAGTTCAGAGAGACGTTTAAAAAAATCCAAGCAGAATAGAGCTTGCAACGCACTGATACAAGACCCTTAAATTCACTGTTCGAAATCCAGTTTTGCATTTCAGAATTGGAAAAGGAAGTAGTTATGTAAACCGTTTTGTCTTGGCAAGGAGGTAAAGTCTGAAGAGTTCAGAGAGCACTTTTAAAAGGATACTTAGGAGGAAACATGCATACATCAGCTGTACCGAAAGTACCGCGTTCCAGTGCCAGAGAGAGAAAGAGACATAAATACATATTTCAATTTTCTCAAGAAGTTACAACTGTCATGTGAAAGGGAAACTAGTCCAAGGTACGTCCTAAACCTGGCTGAGTGTGTTATCAGGCACGCCTCCCAGGATGTCTTGGGCTATCAATCAGCTCCAGTGTGGACAGGATTGTAGACAGGAATCCAAAAAAGGACGCTCATTTAGTTTTGCTCGTGTCTCCGCTCACAGTGCCAAGAGGGAGCGGGGGAAGAACACTTTTCTTTGACTTAAACACAAGCATACAGCGCATGCGATGTGCCCTCTCTCCCCAAAGTCAGTCCCCAAGGCATCTTCTCAAAGCGGGGCTCTAAGACGGGCACTCAAACGCAAATCACAACTGTGTGGCGTCCCCACCCCCACAGGACTTTCCGAACCGAAATCTGGATTTCGATAGTCACTCCCCTTCTCTTGGAGTGCCAGAGTTGTTCATTATTCATAGTCCGGGGCGTGTCCTAAGCAGGAGTTGTATATAGGCAAGAAGTTCAGCCGAATGAGAGAACAGATGGGAGCCTAGAGTTGCAGAGTAGAAGCCAATAGCAGGCAACAAAGAGAATAAAAAGGGAACTTTGCTCTCTTAATTTATTTTTTCTCCTTCATTTCCCTTCTGCTCTCCTCTCTTTCCGTGATCGTTTTGGGACCACGTTTCCTCCTAGCCAGACCATTTTTGCTCGCTTTGGGTATTTTTTGTTGTTGGCTTTTTTTTGTTTTGTTTTTGTAATTTATTTGCTTTTTCAAAGTGGTGCCTGCGGCAAGAAATCAGTGTCAAAGCCAAGTGACCTGGGAGCTTTTTTGGAGGGCAGGAAGCTACAAGCCGTCTTGGGCGCTAAGCTGATCTTCCTTCTCTTCTTATCGAGGGGGGTCAACGGGGCTGCAGGTCTTCCCACTCAGGCAGGCGGGACCCGGTTGGGCTCGACCCTCTGTTAGGTGGGGGGTGCGCGATTGGGGCTTGAGCCTTCTGCGCTGATCCCAGCCCATTCCGCGGCAGGGCTCTGTCCGGGTCTCTCCTTTTTCCTTGTGCCTGCTGCTCCCCCCTCCTGTGGTAGGGGGGCGGCTCTGCCCTGGGCTAGGTGCGTGTGTGGCTGCGGCTCTGTCCCTCTCTCCGCTCCTCGTCCCCTCTCCAACTCCCCCTCCCCCTTCCCCGGCGCTTGTTGCTATGGTGTCGCGGCTCTGCGCGCTGTGGACAGTGGCAGCGCTGGCGCTGCTGAGCCGGAGGGCGGCGGCGGTGGGGCCGGTGGTGCGGTGCGAGCCGTGCGACGCGCGGGCGCTGGAGCAGTGCAAGCCGCTGGCGCCCGAGTGCTCCGAACTGGTGCGGGAGCCGGGCTGCGGCTGCTGCCTGACTTGCGCCCTGCCGGAGGGGCGCCCGTGCGGGGTCTACAGCGAGCGCTGCGGGAGCGGCCTCAGCTGCCAGCCGCGCCGAGGGGAGCTCCGACCCCTGCAGGCGCTGCTGGAGGGCAGGGGGCTTTGCACCAACGTGACCACGGGCAGCAAGCTGCGGACCTTCCTGCTGCAGGGACCACATGGGCCAGGTAAGGAGAGCAGGCGCCCGCGGCGTGTGTGCTTCTTCTCAGTGTGTGTTGGCGAATGCAAAAGAAAAAAAAAAATCGCCCGTGCGAAAGTTTGAGGCGGGCCGGTCTATGAATCTGCTCCCTTGAGGCCCATGTGTTTAGTGTGCAACACACACACACACACCTCTCCCTTGTGTGCTGCAAAAACGTTTCTGTTAATCGCCGCCCAGGTATTGCAGCCAACTCCTCGCGGATGGATTCCTAAACAAAACTTCAACCTTAGTGCACTGGGAAGACTGACGTGGTAATTCCTGCTCTTCAGAATAAATAGTCGTGTTTTCGGATCTAGTGGTCACATCTAGGGCTGTGTGTCAAGTTTGGGATCATAGGGATGAGAAATAAGAAAAAAAAGTCTCTTGTGCTGCAAAATCCTTCCCTGTAAGGTGAGGATGCTTTTTTTTTTTTTTTTTTTATGGGTTTAATGAGGGCGTCACTCCCCCTCTGAACAGGGTGACTGAGGCAGGTCTGCCAGGCTGAGATATTAAAAATGGATGATTTGCTTGTGAAATTCCTAGAAAGAGATGAGAGAACAGAGAAAAATAGGACATTTTTTTCCCAGGCTAGAAAGTTATTAATTAAAACCAAAGCATCAGAGACTGGTAGTTTTTAAAAAGGTGAATACTGTGGAGACACCTTTGAAAATAAACTGTTGGTAAAAACTGAAGTTTCTCTCTTCAAACAGAAGTTTGCCCTCCTGTAAGCTCGTAAAACCATTTATAGTGTGTTATTCTATGATTCTATGATTTAAGAGAGAAGGAAAGGCTGGAACAATTTCTGTAAGCGCGCACATTTTGCAGTGTTCAGAAACAGGGAAAATTGAGATTCAGATCAGGAAAGCACAACTAATATTTGCACAGATTTCATGAGTTTACTAATCAATATTGAGGCAGTCCCATGTACCTTATAGGAAAGCAATTTAAAAGGTTTTGCATTGTTATTTTTAAAGCAGCTGAAGTTTTTCTTTTGAGTTGCAGGTATTCATTGGCTGGCCTCTCCTTAGCTGAGTGAAGTGGCTGCCATTGTGCTTTTAACTAGCTGTTGTAGGAAGACAAGATGTCTTATTATTTATTCATGTGCAGCTTACAAGCAGTGACAGTGGGAGAGTTCAAAACATGCTGAGTGAAGTTTCAAACCTTACTGAAACACATGGCAACATCCTTCATCATAAGATCCTGATGCTGCTAACTCTGCCTTAAAAGGAATCCTGGAAGAGGGGAGTATCCATACAAAGGGGCGGAACTTGGCAAAGGCTAATTATCAGATATTGTTATTATTCTTTTGTAACTGCAAATATTAGAAGAAGGAAAGGGGCAGCTGGATCTGGACTTTCACTTCTGTTCCGCATCTCTTACTAACTTCAGCCCTAATTAGTTAAAATACTAAAGCCCTATTCTTGCACTCCTTATTCAGACATAAATCCTGTTGAAGTCAATGGAAACTTTGCTTCTGTGTATAAAGTGAGAGTTAGGCCTCTTCCTGGGAATACAAATTCAGTGCTTAATCTGCTTAATCAATGTCATGCATAGTGCCTGCATTTAAGGGACTACTAGAGTTTCAACCCTAAATCCAAGTTTCCAGTACAGATTATAGAATACAGCAAACTCTCAGAACAGGATCAAATCTTTTCTCACATACACAGGTAGGTAGAGTATCATATAAAATTGTTTTTGTCATTTTTAGTTACATCAAGAGCTACAAAAATTATATAGCTTTATATTTTAAGATATCATTTTAATGCCAGATTTAGAAGGCCACCAACAGATATTCCTGACATTAATACAACTCACACATTTTAAGGACCATTATAATACTATTAATAAAAGGAAAAAGCAATATTATATTCTGTTGTATCAATGTTTCCAAATATCATTAAGAATGAGAAAAAATATTACTGTAAAAAAATTAAGCACAAAAAATAAGTTCAGATACTTGTGAGAGTCTGAGTTAAATACAGTTATATTTGTTGCCAGCAGTGGCTACACCAAAGCTACTGGTACAAGATGTTAACTCTGATCCTTCCTCCTTCTTCCTGTGCCTATATTGCAAAGGTCTTAATGCCTTAAGTGCTGATATTGTTGGACTCATTGGGATGTGATAAGAAGGCTGAATTTCTTGGCTTTGGTGTTTTTTAGCGAGCCTTTTAATACTATTTTAATACAGATTTTGTGCTTTAACTTTAGTATAATTAATCAACAGTATTGAAAGTAATCTGTGCTCTTCACATCAGTTATCATTGTATGTTCCCAATGTGTTTTCCTTTCCTTTTTTGAAAAGCTCAGATGGCCTGCAGCCAAAAGGCTGAAATGCAGCTTGCAGTCTGACTTAGCTTATAGAAAGATAGAAACTTTAAAAATATCTTAGAGAAAATGCTGCCTTCTACAATTACATTAGAAGAACCCTGTAAGGTATAGTATAGTACAGACACATCCTCTTAAGTATATAGAAACATTATGCCTCCATAGTATTCTGGGGCACTTTTTTTTGTGTTACTTCTATGAAAAGTAGATACAGAAGAAAATAGTTGTAATCTATTCTGGCTCATAGTGAAAAGCCAGTAAGCAGGATGTTTGTTTTTTGATACCATGGCAGAGTTGATGGTGATGCTGTGTGTTTCGTAGAAAAATGTGTTTCATAGAAAAATAGAATCAAATTGGAACATTCTCTATCCTCCAAGAAGGAAAATTTAACTCACCAAATTTTTGCAGTATGTGGAGAAAAACTTAAGAAATAACTGTATTAAGACCTATTAAGTCAACATGGTAAGATTATTTTAATAATTCCTTTTTTGTTAATTCCCTTCCTGGAGAAAATAGAAAGGAGAGATTCTACCTTACAGAGTACTGTACTAATCATCATAAGACATTACAGGAATTCATTATCTCAACTAAGTGATAATAAAATCTGTGCTAGAACAGAAATAAATTATTTGAATTTTTTGCATGTCTTCATTGGTAAAGGTGATAACAGATTTCTGATTCAGGTCCAAACTCTGGAAATGATCAAGTCCTAGTGTAAGCCCGCCCCCTTCTGGTGGGAAAAAACTTCATTTTAAAGGAAGCAAATGGCTATATATTTAGATAGTCATAGTTTTAAAAAATCAAATTGATGTAAAGTATACATAAAAATGTTCATACAGTTAAGTAGCAAATAAAGGAATGTAATAGCTAGCTGCTAATAATGATAGTGGAATGGTAGAGTTTAAAAGAGCTTCAGGAGTTTATGAGATATTTCAGTTCTGAGAATATTATAATTATTTCTGTTCGGGAAGTATAGTCATTGCTGCTCAGAGAATACTATGTCATTTTTGACTTTCTGTGTTTTTTAACAAAAAACAAAAGAAAAAATACAAACTTTTAAAATAAGCTTTTGTGCTCCAAGATTAACTGAATAATTAACGTTGTTTCTTTGTTGAATTTATTTTATTTGAAGGAAATTCCAGTGATTCAGAAGAAGACCAGAATGCCAGTAGCATAGAGAATCAGGCCATCCCTAGCTCTCCCAGGGTGTCAGATTCCAAATCACATCCACCCCACACCAAAATAGATATCATCAGGAAAGAACAAGCCAAAAATACTCAGCGCTACAAAGTGGAATATGATTCACAAAGTACAGATACACTGAATTTCTCTTCTGAATCCAAACAAGAGACTGAATATGTAAGTATTTGTATAAGCAGAAAGATAAATGCATTCTCTTGCTGCTTTTTGGTATGCTGCATTTGACATGATGAATAGAAAACCAGCTGGTGGTAATTGTTGTAGCCATTTAAGGAGTTCTGACTCTATGACCAATAAAACTGTTTCAGATACAAATGCAGAGGGTCAGCAGGCCAGACAGATCAAATTTGGAAAACATAGAAGGCTGTTTTTAATCTAATTATCAATAATAATCTTTGGACTGTAAAAGCCCTTAATCTTACCTATAGTTATCACTCGGGAACAGATTTACTGAGGACTAAAAATACCTTAATTAAATGTAATTATACATTGGCAAGAAAGAAAAGACAATGCAAAAAAGAAAAAGACCTTGCATTCAATCCGAAGGTCTGAGTCTGTCCTCTAGGAAGCAAATTATGGAAAGTGCTCTTGCATGGGACTGAGTGCCAGCTTTTGACTGGGGTGTATAATGCACACAAATCAATGTCTAGATTTGTAGTGATTGGTTTGTCACATGGAAAATGTCTGCAGGTCAGAATGTAAGCAGGTACAACTGATTTATGTACTGCTCTTGGCACACGCCTGGTTCTCCTCATACCAGTCCCAACAGGCATACAAAATGCTGCTTGGGTATACTTTGGTACGTCATCAAAACATTCTTGAGTGATCCACACATATCTGTCCTTCTACAAAAGGAAGGTTTCAAAACCTACATAAGGTAGTGAGTTCCATATAGAGTATATGGCGGTTAGGATAATAAGAAAGGTTAATTTTCTTGCATGCTCAATACATTACTGAAGTCGGAGAAGTCAGATATTTCAGTTAAAACACATCAGTGTCTGAAGGGTTCAGAATATCCTTCTTCCATCTCACACACCCAAAAATTTGTGTATAGCAGAGTTATCATCTTAGGATAGTGTTAGGGATGATGTAATATTATATGGTACTGGTTCAGAACTATGATTTCTAGGGTCTGGCTACACTGCAGCTGGGAGCAAGGTAGTCAGATTTACACTAGTAGGATTCAAGACAACATGATTACATTTGAAATATGGATTCATCTCCCTATGTTCATGGAGTATTTTGCTGCTTACTGCTTTTTAATATCTAAAGATATACTATTTTAAAGAATATTGGAGATAGGGTTGGAGTGAGAGGATTTCATTTGTGCTTTCTAAAACATGATTATTGACAGGGTCCCTGCCGTAGAGAAATGGAAGACACATTAAATCACCTAAAGATCCAGAATGTCTTGAGTCCAAGAGGTTTCCATATTCCAAATTGTGACAAGAAGGGATTCTATAAGAAAAAGCAAGTGAGTAATATTTCTTGATCATTTCTGTATGTGTATTTCTGCTTTTCCACATCTTTATTTGTTCTTACAAAGACAAGTTTGACATTACTAGCAATGTTCATGTGCATTGCATAGCATTTTACTGAAACATTAGTTTAGGCCTAGTTTTAGCACCTGGTGGCATTGCACCAAACCATGTCAGGTGTGCACTGTGTTTTTATTTTCTGTAGTTCCTGACAACAGATTAATCTGAGAAACTTCATACCCAATCACTTATGGGTTGGCCTGTGTCCTGGATATCAGTGCCTGTCAGTTTAAAAAAAGCATTGCCTCTGTAATAACCCACAGAGCTAAATGTTGGAGTCACCATATGACTGTAATAGATCAATGCTTTGAATTGTAAATAGCTGCTTGAGAGTTCCTAGAAGAACTGGATTAGGTCAAATTACAAAAAGCAACTTGAGAAAGCCATATATCTGTCCTTTATACACTGCAGAGATCATAGTGAAAGTGATACACTCAGTATTTACTCTGTCTCTGAACCACGTTGGTTTTCCATTTGATTTTGGTTACAAGGCTGTGACCTTTCTTGACAAATACAGACACCACCATAGCTACTCATGCCTTTGTCATCTCCATATTGAAACTACAGGTTGAACCTCTCTAGTCCGGAACCTTTGCGACCTGACCTGGGGCAAACTAGAGAAGTTTTCGAATCAGGAGAGCTCAAGGTCCTAGACACTCATGGCAGGTCCCAAACACTGGTTCCTTTGCAGTTGGGGTCCCAGCTGTCACCCTCTCTGTTCCTTCCTGAAATCTTAGACCTTTATCTCTCACCACGCCCCTTACTGTCCCTGGCTCAGTCCATAGAAGGGAGCGGCTATGGAGCACCAGCCAGGACAAGGAGTGGATTCCTGTGGCCAGCGCCTGGCACCCCAGGTGAGGAGTTGCTGAGTGCGTCCCAACTCTGCTTCTCCCCCACCCTCTCTGAGCTTGAACACTAGGGAGGAGTTGCTAAGTGTGGGGCCATTGGCACAGAAGGGGAGTACCCTGAAGCACCTATGGAGTCACTGCTGATGCTGGACCACAGATGTTGTGGGACAACGGAATTCCAGCTTACAGAGGTTCAACCTGTATTGCAGTGTGCCCTACTTAATGCAGTCCAGGAAGCTTTGGCTAGTGAAAAGTATATCAGGGCTGTCCATGTCAGCTCACATAATTCCAGTTGGCTCTGAATTAGTTTCTTGGTGCAAATCAAGGTATAGTTTCTAATTTGCAGAGTGTTATATCAGTGGTTCTCAAGCTTTTCCACAGTCTGGATCATGTCTTTAAAGATCATTGTTTTGTGGGCCACCTCCCCCCTCCCTTTCGTAATTACTCAGGCCCACTTGTCTCTTCACATCCTTGTGGTAACCACAACAATGGCTTACACTGGAAAATAATATTAGGAAAGCATTCCATGTATTTTTAGTTGTCTCTAATGTTGTTTATCAGTTGGAATTGAGAATGAAATTAGCAGCCAGCCCAACTTGGCTACCACGCATCCATTAATTTCACTCTAAGGCTATGTCTATACTACAGAGTTTTTCCGGGATACTGGTATCCCAGAAAAACTCTGCCATGTCCAAGTAACATGTACACTTTTTTGGATCAGTTTCCAAAAAAGCGGGCACATTCTTTCAGAAGCCTTGGATTCCTCATTTTATGAAGAATAAGGGCTCTTCCAAAAGAGGAGGTTTTTTACACATTTGGCCCAGAGTAGACGGGCCAAATGTCAGAAAAGCCTCTTCTGAAAAAAGAATTGGAAAAAGGTATGTAAATTATGATTCACAATTTGCATACCTTTTTCTGAAAAAGAACTGCAGTGTAGACATAGCCTAAGTCCTGCTGCTTTCAATTGCTTGGATCTTGAATTTCTTCAAGTATTGTCTACAGTGAAAAAAAAAAAAGGTGTATTCTTAACTTGTGGTAGCTAACCTTGGTTAAAGAACTGCATGCAGCAGCATGGTCATGGCAAGAACACTGGGGCTGTGTCTACACTGGGCCACTTATTCCGGAAAATCAGCCGCTTTTCCGGAATAAGCTGCGAGCTATCTACACTGGCCCTTGAATTTCCAGAAAAGCAATGACGCCCTACTGTACAAAATAAGCCACTATTCCGGAAAAGCTACGCTGCTCCCGCTCGGGCATAAGTCCTTATTCCGGAACACTGTTCCGGAAAAGGGCCAGTGTAGACAGCCCAGTAGTCTTTTCTGGAAAAAAGCCCCGATCGCGAAGATGACGATTGGGGCTCTTTTCTGGAAAAGCGTGTCTACATTGCCCACAGATGCTTTTCCGGAAAAAGGGCTTTTCCGGAAAAGCAGCCCGCCAATGTAGACGCTCTTTTTCCGGAAAAACTTAAAACGGAATAGTATTCCGTTTTAAGCAGTTCCGGAAATTCATGCCAGTGTAGACACAGCCGCAGAGAAGGCACAGCAACTCGACCTTTAAAACAGGTTAGAAGCTTGAATTCAACCCCAGGCTGTCTCATAGGCTTTAACTTATGTTTCTAACCTGAGTTACAAACCAAATTGTTGAGGCATCCCTCCTGTTTTCATCCAGGTTAGCTAATCTGAGTTAAGAACACACTTTTTTTCAGCACAGGTGTACCCGGGAGAGCCAGCCTTTCCTCTTCCCTTGCATCTCAGCAAGTGAGAACAGCAACCTTTGTAGATCTGATGATAGGCACTCACAGTGGGGGGTCTCTTGGCTCTAGAACACGCTTCTTCCATTGGTCTGACAGTGCCTGTGTTTGTTGACCTTTAGGGCATGCCACATAGCTTATCTATTCACTCTAGCTTTTCCTGAGCAGCTGGTGATTTTCCCAGGCAGGGCAAGTTTCTTTTTTTGGGTTGAGGTCTCATTTAATCTGGTGTGAATTCTTGTTCCATGATATTTTATCTTTGATGTAAATTAACATAGGGACATATGCAGGTTACAGCTCTCAATCTGCATTCATTCAAAAATGCTAGTGATTTCAATGAGAGTTATTTGATGGACTGAAGACAGCATTGCCCCATTAGGGTGCGAACCAAGAGTGTGTGTTTTTTTCCTGTGACAAAGAATTGGTTAGCATATTTATTTTTAGTATTGTTCCAAGAGAGACATATTTTTTTACATGCTATAGTCCTTTAATATAATCACACTAGGCTATTGTATTAGTTTCCTGAATTGCTGCTATTAACATAATTTAGCATTTGTAATTCAATAGTACCCACATTATGACAGAAGAAGTCAGTATGTTATTCTAGGAAATAGTAAATCATCCTAAATAATATTATTTTCACTGTACTATGAGGTGGAAATACTGGCTTTCTTCTGACACCTCTAAAGTAGCTGGATATGCTGATATGCAGGGCTTGACAAATTGCAGCAAGAGCTACTCGCCAGCCCTGCATTGCACATGCACCAGACCGGCACTGCGCATGCGTGCAGCGCTGGAGAATGGGACGCATGGAGCGACCGGCTGAAATCTCCTCACCATGGGCGAGTAGAAACAACGGTTTGTCGAGCCCTGCTGATATGGATATGCAGCTGTATATGCACTATGATGGCACCCACCTCCAAAGAATGCTGGCCCTGAAAGATTAGCAGCATTTATGTGTTTTGCATATTTGTAAAAGTTGCTCATTCTTTACCAGAACAGTTTAGCTATCATATCTGAATCTGTGTGGTGTAATGGTAGAATTAGGGATGTTACATTTAGTTTAATCAATTCATCGACTAGTCTATGGATTTTCCATTGGCTAGTCCATTAGTTGATAAGCCAGGGAGCCACAGCAGGGTTAGCTCCCTCCCCAGGAGCTAACCCTACTGCTGTTCTGCCTTTTAAGTGTTTTAAGAGCTGGCAGGCTTTTAATACATTTAAAAGGCTAGTGCACAGTGTGTGTGTGTGGGAGGGGACGATGACCCAGAGCGAGCCAGCAATCTCAGTTGTCCCAGCTCACGCTGGGTCCCCCCTGCTGTGCTTCTGATTTTTGGCTCTTAGTACGTTCAAAAAGCAGAGATACAGCGTCTGGTACTGGCTGCAAGCCAGGAATCAGCTCGCACCTGGTCCCTGCTACTCCACTCCCTCCCGTGCCCCCCGTGGAGATGGTGCTGGGAGGAACCAGCTTTTAAGACAGAGGCAACAAGGGGGGGAGGAAAGGCTAGCTGAGGGACTAGTTAACTATCCCATAAGCTTACTGGATAGTCAACTTGCCGCTTACATCCCTAGTTAAAATGGTAATTGGAAAGCAGAACTCCTTCTTTGTTTCTTTTTGGCTTTGCTGCTGACATGGACTCTGATCTCACAAGTTGCTCCACATTAGGGATGTAATAGTGTTGTCTATTAACCGATTAACCAATAAGCAAAAGCTAATAGGTTAATGCTATAGACTGCATGCATTTCCCTCCCCTTGCCACTACATTCTTAGCAGGCTGGACAGCAGCCTGGCTCAGTCCTGTCTTGCGATGGTTCCGGGACCTACCCCTGCTGCAGTTCTGCATTTAAAGTATATTAGGAGCCGGGCAGGTAGGCAGCCTGGCTCAGTTCCAGCTTGTGCCAGGTCCAGGAGTTCAAACCCACACTAGAAAGGAGCTACTGCCACTTCATGCTTCTGCCTCTTTATCAGGCAGCTGGTCCATGAGGGGAGCTGGTTTTTAAATTGGCTCCCTCTGTGGACCAGCTCCTGTCTGGCACCCCGCACTGCTTCCTCTGATACAGAATGCACTGGCTGCCGGTCCCACCCCTAGAGACTATAGAATAGTCGACTAACCAATAATAATTCATGAGGTTACTCGCCTATTCAATTAACTGATATTTAACATCCCTACTCCACATAGGCAAATGCGCTCATACCTAAATGGATCCCCAGTTATTTAAAGAACATGAGTGTCTCTTCATAAGAATAAATTGCAGGATTAGGTCCTTTTTGTCTCATCTTAATGTCATAAGTTGTTGTATAAAGTAAAATGTAGATAGATGTATATACAGATGCAGTCCAGTAGTACAATGTGTGTGTTGCAACACAGTGTCATAATATGCAGTGCAGAACTTACACAAAGAAACAACATGCGTATAAAGAAACAGCATTTGTCTACAGATAAATGATAGATTTGGGATAAATCCAATAAAGTTTCTTGATCCTCTGAAAGAGCTATATAAAGTCTTTCATAAGGAAGTTTTTCTCTTCATGTTAACATGAACCATGTCTTTTCCTCATTGACTGGCTCTTCAGGGACATGCTGAATGCAATTGTTCCTCATGATCTGATTTGTGGTTATCTAGTAATTGCCTTTCCAGACACCCTCGGGAGTAGTTTTAATGAGCGAGAGTTTTTTTGTAAAGGAATTGTATCTATCCAGATACATCATTTAAAGCAATTTAAGGTATTTATATTTTTATATAAGGGTCACAGGAAAATTATCAAATAAATGTGGTTGCCAGTATGCACTTACTGTCTTGCCAAGCCATGTGATATATAACATGAAATCAAATAGGAAAGCCAGTGGTACTGGAAGCTACATGAACAGTTCCAAAAGGAATTCTGTCCTCCATTCTCTGTCCATTATAAATGAATATTTGTTTTTTACTCTACTTTTCTTGCCTGATGCTTCTTGGTAAACATTGGTTTAAAGCTAAAACTGGAAGGCTGGCTTTGTGGTTGGTCAGAGTTTTGAGTCTCTAATTTAAATTTTGCTCCTGGATCCTCAGAGACTGCAAACATGGTACAGAATCATTGTTATCATGCCCATTGAAATGCATACATTAATTACCTCATTCTTCAGTATCCCTTCTAACAAACTGAGGAGTGCCATAGATGGGCTTTAAAGAGATGTGTTCAATCCTCAAGTATATCATGTAAAAGAGAGGCAGTGTCTCTAGGTTCATTCACTCAGTCCGTTCCACAGTCTGGTAGAGAGTGGGCTTCCCCTCCTGGAGACTGTGTCCTTGCCCTTACCACAGGGCTTTATCTCACAGTCTCATTATATATATATATATACACACACACACACACAATGTGCTGTCTGCTGTGCTGCTAGTCTCCCAGTCACTCAGTCTTCATCCCTTTAGGTCTCCAGAGGAACTGAGCTGTCTCTGCTTTTGTAGAATCTTTAATCAGCCTTCCTGTCCTCTTACTAGCTGCTTCTCCTGCTGCCACTCTAGCCTGCATGGCGGACCACTCTGTTGTCCTTTCCTGAGATGAGGGGTGGAAAGCCTGCAAGCTCCAGTAGGGGGCTTCAGGGCCTTGTTCACCCCCTTACAGGGTTAAATATTCCCAGTTCACTTAGGGCTTGATCCAGTGCCCATTACAGCTAATGGGAGTATTTCCACTGACTTCAGTGGGCATTGGCTCATACCATGAATTGAAATGTTAAACAATGTAAAAGGATAAAGTTCATGGTGGTTTAATGTTTAAGGACAACTGACTGAAGAGCTAACTTGTAATTTAAATAAAGATAATCGGATAATTAGGCAAAGTACTAATACATCTCTTTTCTCGATTGGCTAGTGATGTTTTTTCCCTCTGAAAGTAACTGTGTATTTGCATTGGACCTGATCTCGCAGACACACTTCTGGCACAACTGCCATTTAAGTGATTGGGATCATTGCTTGCAGTATGACTGCAAAATAAAGGTGTTGAGGTTCCAAAGAAGAAAAAGTGTTGTGTTGTTTCAGCACGTGAGATGATATAACCAGCCTAAAGACATAACCAGAATACAGATTTAAGTCATCATTTTCTGGCCTAGGAATGCATGAATCTAAATGACTGCTTATTTTCAGTTAGAATGAGTGCTCTTAGTTCATGTACCATAATAAACATGCTTAAAGCAAACATTCCTCAGCAAGAGGAATCTGCCTGACACAATATGCAGCTTTCTGACCGTGCAGGTCCTGAAAGACTGGCAGGATGACAGGAATCCAATCTATTCCCCCCAAAAGTCCATGGTGAGAAATTGTGGAGCTGGCTAGGGATAGGGATAAAGGAGCAGATGAACTTCCCACAATCCCCAGCTAGCAGGACTATATGTGTTGGACTGGGTGGACTAGGATGGGAAAATTACTGGTGCTTGGCTCTTGGGTGAATCAGCTATATTTTAAGGGTGAAATGAACTCTGACACAGACCTATGCACCAGTTAAGTCTTACTTAAACCTTGTTTTGAGGACTTAATTTGTGCTTGCATAGGCCTTCTGTAGGATCTTTCAATGTGGATACATTTCATTCTAAATGAATAAAATGCACAAGCTGGAAATTTACATCATGCCATCCACCTGCTATGAAGAATGAGTTCTCTAGCCCCCATTAAGGGAGGAAGGGGTAGCCTTCTTTTATTTGTGTTTTTATTTTTGGTGGCAGGAGGTAGGGCAAGGTCTTCAGGCTGCATGGCTTCCCTGTTCTTGTCTGGAGGTGATAAGTGTGTTGTAGTTGTCATCCAGCAAGAACCTGGTAAGTCTGTGCCGTGGACTCTTTAAAATTCTTCACTGACTAAATGGGGGCCCTTTTAGCACTGATGAATGTATCTCTGCAATAGGGCATTCAGTGAATCTACAGCCATAAAATCCTGCATGTCCAGCTGACATAGATATTGATTCTATCCTGGGAAGGAGTTTGACTGTAGAATGCACAATATGACATTGCATGACTACTAGAGAAAAGTGCATCCACTTAGAATAGAAAAAAAACCTTCACAGTTACAGAGATATATTTCAGGTGGACTGGGCCCAGAGATACATGAGGAATATGTGATCAGGAACTATGTATGCTACTTTATATTCTATTTTGTAACTCTTGGGGTCTTTAGAAGAAGCTCCTTAGTATGCATGGTAAAATAAAAATAATTTTGTTTCCCATCTTTCCTGTACTAAATTATTATTTCTAGGGAAAGCTTCAGCTTTTATGTTGATATATAAATAATTTATAGAAAAAGATTGCACACACACTGCGTATTGCAATTGGCTTGTAGAGATAACTAGTTCTGATAGATAAGTGCTTTTGCTAGAAATTATTTAGGTTATGGATTAACATGCAGGCAACCTTATTTATAGGAAATATATATGTAAAGCTCTAATATACCTAGCAGTTGTTGAAGTGATAACTCTGTTGCAGGGGATTATATATCTGTTAATAAATGTCAACTACAGTACTGAAATTCCTCTGGCAAACAGATGCAAGCTGAGGTGTTATTGCTGTAAGAGTAGTCTCTGCCAAACATATGCTCCCTTGGGGTGCTAAGAGTAATCTGCTGAGCTTTTTTCCCAGATAAAGGACCTGATCCTACAACTCTTACTGTTGCAAGTAGAGCCCTTGACATTGGTTTTGCTCAATAGGGAACAACTGTGCAATATAATATCATGTAGAGTGGTTTATAATGCTGTCTTTTTTGCTTCTAATAATAGTTTATTGTTTGATTAGTTTCCTAATAGTTGGCTGTCAATAGAAGTAAAATATCATAATAATTTGTGCTAGTGATCGGAATTCCATTTACTCAGAGTAATCAGCAGTGTTGCTTTGACAATGTTATATTATTGAAGCTATCAAAGAGATTAGGCTTAACTGGAATCTCCGCTCTAGCAAAGAAATATTGCTAACTAAATCTACCTTTTGTTTCAGTGCCGCCCATCCAAAGGCCGAAAGAGAGGCTATTGCTGGTGTGTGGATAAATATGGACAGCCACTTCCTGGATATGATGGAAAAGGAAAAGGCGATGTCCACTGCTACAACTTGGAAAGCAAATGAAGGGCAGGTGCCATCTCCTGTGGAATCTGTGTGTGGCATTTTGACCCATCAGAGACCTTGGAGGGACTGGGGAAAAAAAGCGTGGACTGCATTGGACTTGGAGTTATGAGTTCTGCCTCCTACTGATATTGGGAGATTCATTGACTCTGTGGACTCTTCAGCTGCACCCTGTCACTGACACACTTCCTGCTTTCTACAGAACATATAGGGAGCTCTGAATTCCCAAGTAAATCTGCACTATTTATCCCCAGAAAGAAAAAAAAGGCACTTCAGAATGGATTCAGGGAGTCTCCACTGACTTTTTAAAATAACGGCCTGTGACCAATTTGATCCCGAAAGATACTGTGTTTTATTTTTAAAGAATTTATAGATTGTAAGCTCATAAAAATATTAAAAAAACAAGGATTTAAAGTTTAAGCTTTTTTATACAGGTCTGACGGGAAACTTATCTTCACGGGTAAAATGTTTTATAAAAATCTCAAAGAACTTTTTAAAGAAACGTGTTTCTAAAATAAAGACATGGCTATTTTTTCTGTAAAGTATATTATGAATATTCTGTTAATCTGTATTTAATATAATTGTTTTTTAATAAACTTTATTTAAATGTAACGTGAATACCAAATGTACACATTCATTCTCTTCTATGCAAGTCAAAAAAGGGGATTGTAGATAGAATGGCATATATAGCTTAATCTAATGTGGATGAGCCAAAATAGATTCACTGAGTGAAGAAAAATTTTCTTAAAGAGTTTTCCTATTTGACGTTGAGAAAACCATCAAATTAACTTTTTAATTAATCTTCCTACGACTCTTCCCTCCTACTTGTTTCAGCTACTCAAACTTAATTTTTTTCTCTTCTTCCCCTTTTTTAAAACTGCTAACTAGTTTAATTTTTTATCTGTGGATAATCTTCCTTCATGTTATGACACTTCTTTTAAATTCAAGCATTTATTGTCTTACTAAAAAAAACTTAATTAAAGATTCTACATGAGAAACTCCTACTAAAGTCAGTGCCAAACATATACAGAAAAGAGGATATAGGATATATAAATTTTATCACTCTCTGGGCTCAACTATTGCATCGCATAGTTGTAACTTTCACTGACTTCATTGGGAGTTGTCATCTTGCCTTTAAGAGCTGAAGAGTAATCATCCAGTTTTGAAAAACCGCTCTCTGGTTACAGATTCACTTAGATTTTCAATCTGAAGAGAGCTTTTATGTTCTTAATTTGTGGTTCTTTCAAATAACTGGCATATGACATCAATTTGAATCAGTTTCCAATTAAAATTAATGGGAATATCTACATAAAAATCAGTGGCAGTAGGTAGTCTATGGAATTTAGCATTTTTTCCTTTTTGGATAAGATTTGAAAATTCTTATATGTAACTTGACAGAAAATGGTATTAAAGTGGTGTCATTTTAAAAGAAAATTACCGTTAAATAAATGAATGTCCTGTTGTATATTTAGCTTGGTTTAACTGGACAGCCTCACTTGTATATGATTCAGTTTCTCAGTTTGGAATCTCACAAAATGACCTTGCATCATCTTTAAAACTGAAATCGTAACCCCTCAGAAGGTTTGCGAAATAATTGTTACTCTAAAAAGTGTACTGTCCCGAATATTTCCATTTCAGACAGATTTGTGAACCGATTAAAATACTGCAATTGCAAAAGTTGTACCAAGAAAACATTGAAATAACACCCTTTTAAAGCTATAATCAGTCTACCCTCTTACTGTTACCTGAGCAAGAAATTGTATTCAGCAGTATTATGTAAGTAGACATGAAACTAAGGGCTAGATTCATGAAATAAAGCCAATATTAACAATATTAAATAATACAAAATTAATACATTCCTGAGTTGCTGGGAATGTAAGCTAGTATCGTACCAGAAAAGGAGGATGGATACCTTCCAAGCAACATTCTTCATGCATGCAAGGAAAGTTTAAAAAATGTATCTGCTTGTAGCAACATTTCTGGTTACCTTTTAAGTCCTTGAAAGTTTATTTTTTGTCCATTGACAGCAAGGAAAAATATCTAAATACAGGCACAATTGGGTGGTTGACTAAAGTTTTTTAATTACACAAAGTCCTTTAATGGACCATTCATAGTTTACAAAAATGCCAAATCTTTTACAGCTCAAACATGTTCCTTAATTCATTAAGGCAACCTGAGAGAGACATAAATTATTTAAAAAAATATGATTCATTGATTAACTTGCATGCCTGTGCAATGTTAATGACTGTAGTGGTCTTTTGTGACACATAAAACACATAACCTTAGTAGTAAAAAGGATTTTATGGCCAGGCACCAGTCAACTTTTCAACTTTATTAAAAAAAAGTTAATGTAGCTAAAAATAGCAAATAAAATGTTTCTCTTATGTGTCTGTGTATATATATACCATTTCCTTGATGAGTAGTTGACTGCTATATATTTCACATGACCATGGTATACTTATTCTAATACCAGACACTACAGTTTGTGTATACAAGTGTCCCAGCAGACAACATTCTTGGTGTGAAACATAAAGTAACCTTATTGCTATCACAAAAACACTCATTAAAATGAAGATGAACTGTGCTTTTTTCATGTTACTATTTCTGTTAAGACAAGGGTTCAATTCAACAAGTTACATGGGCATTCAATGATTTTCCCACGGAATGTTGCATGGGAGTCGGACTGTATAATGAGTGCCCGATTTAAACACAAAATATTTATGGGTTATGTTTGAGCAGTAGAATGTGGGCAGAATCGGGTGAACATGCTTTCACCCCACCCACATGTTAAAAACTAGTCCTGTTAATAGCTGTAATTAGTGAAGGCCTTTATTCAGTAAAAAATGTGTTACTGTTGCTGTGTTATTGAGGGCAGAAATAGAACTGATGTATTAGATAAATTACTGCTGTTTTTATGCCTTTCCTATCTTCAGCTTAATGTTTTATTAAGTCAACATATATTAGATTATATTTTTAAAAAACCTATTCTGAGAATTACAAACACTCCAGATGAAAACACTGTAAACTTCTACCCCCCCCCACCCCCCTTCCTCCCAAAAAAAGATTATTTCTGACATTTTTTTTCACATTACATAGTTCAGGGACATAGAAAAGTTAGTCTTGATGCCCATATTGTGAATGATGGATTCGATGAAAGATAATTAATTAGTCTCTAAATATTACACAAATACCGTATCTATGAAGTATTGTGGCAGTAAGTGTTTATTTTAACCAGAGTAATAAGTAGCTGCATCATAACCCCATAAATGACCAGCATGCAAATTAAATCTGCCTGCAGGCAGCTCTATTATCTTTCAAGCCATTTGAGAAAGTTTCCTTTTTAAATAAACACACTGGCTATAATCTTTTGAGCTCAGAATATCCTTGTCCACCATTTTGGCATGCACACCCTTCAGGGCATAATGTTCACTATTTGTGACAGGGAAAGGAGGCTTCAATGAATACCAAAACCACAGAATTAATTAGTTTTTAGTATAGTCTGAACTTTTTTCTGTCTAAATTCCATAGAAACATTAACACAGCATAATTCTTTATGGAGGTGAGCCCTAAAATTAAGTAATGTTTTTACAAATCTTTTGGGAAATCATTTTTGGTATCTCAATTCACTCTGGATATCCATGGATGGCTCCATGCAGATTTCTTTGTATTAGCCATATCAATTGAAATATGAAAAGTGCTGAGCAACTTTGCAGGATGGCAGAGCTTCATAGTCAAAATGGCAGGTTTATACAGATTTACACGTTTGCTTCTTATAAAATGATCCTTGCCCCCCCTTTATATATGTATTGATAAATACTTCTACAGACTAGGGATGTTTGACCATGCCAGGGTGACTGGGTTGTGGGGAGAGAGGGGGAGATTTGTGGGGGTTTTTGGCTTTGAGTGGTCACTATCTGTGACCACTAGGTTTGCAAGTGTGGGAAGTTCTAGGCAGTACTTACTATTAGAAGGAAATATTTTTGCATATCCTTTGGGGATAAATATCTTGTTTCAGCTTGAACCCATTCCATATATCAATATGTAGAGTCTGGGTGACCATTGCTCTACTGTATTAGATCAGCTGAGGGAATACGATTAATCTTTCTATTAAAAAAAAAAGTGAGTGCTCCTGTAACCCACCCACCAAGGGTGGTTCACTGTTCCATGAAGTGGCACCTAGACCACCTACAGCAACATATAAGAACAAGAAACCTCTATGGCATGGGCTGACAGCCAGCTGGCTTTTAGCTCAAAGGGTAGAGGCTCCTACATTAAGCTCCAGAAATTCCAGGATCAAATCCACCTTGTGGCAGTTACACTCCATCCCCACTAACCACATCTATTCAGGGGCACCACCAATCAGCTGTGTAGCCAAAGCTGGTAAGGTGCCTGAAGGAGAATGGAGGGCAGTGGGGGACAGGGTGCAGAGTGGGGGATGAGAAGAGGTGGGAGCTTTAGGGAATGGGCAGAGAAGTGGTAGGAGAAGTCAGAGCAAGGGCAAGGGGCAGAGCCTTGGGGTGAGTGGAGGTAGAACACCCTTAGGGAAAAATAAAAGTCAGGGCCTATCCTATGGCCACTTCACCTCCAATGGTCTCTAGAACTGTGTATTATAAATGTATATTTATGTTAAACAATCTGTTCCACCTTGTATCTAACTGTGACAGTGAAGTATGTTCCCTCGACTGGCAAAAGAGCTGCGTAAGCTCAAAATCTTCTCTTTCCTGTGCGTGCGTTCTCCTGCCGACACTGGTCCAATAGAAGCTGTTACCTCTCCCACTCTGTCGCGCTAAGGCCAGGACTATACTATGCACTAACTTAGTCTTCAGTATAACTGTGTCATTCAGGAACATGCACAAGCAGCACACCTGAGCGATGCAAGTTATATTGAGCTGAACCTCCTGTGTAGATAGAATTGTGTCAGGGGAGAGCTTTCCCCAGAGCACCAGGTAGGTGCGTGGTGCAGCTCCCAAGCTTGGACAAACAGCATAGGCACCAGGCCAGGAGTGATGGACAGACAAGCAACACAAGCAGTGGCTCCAGCTGTCCAGAGTGCTTGGACACAGGTTGAGCCCTCACTTACCAGCTTGAGGCCCGTGCCTTCTTTCAGACCATGGGGGAAGAGCCACAGAGCATCAGGAAGCAGTAGAGGGTCTTGGGGAAGAGCTTGGGAGGTGCCACACATGACTGTATAGCCCATAGCTACCACCGCTCACAGAGTTGGAGTTATTAAACGTATGGGTGAGCTCTCTCTTCTTCACTTAGACTAAGCATCTGCATTTTTACTGATGAGGCAACCTTTCACATGGTTTCTGGAGAGCTTAAAACTGAAATATGAAAGAGGTCAGAAGGCAACTTTGCAGTTTTTAAACAGTGCCATGCCTTCGCTGCACTTGTAAAGTGGGGTGTGGTTCAGGAGGGATGCTGCCCTCTTTGCAAGGTTTGGTGATGGAGGCTCATTCCATGCATAATTTATGGCAGTTAGCATCATCGTGTGGTTTCAGAAGAGCAAGCTCTCCCAAGCTATGTCTACACTAGAGTTTTTCTGGGATACCAGAAGTATCCTGGAAAAACTCTGCCATGCCCAGGAAACGCGTCAGCTTTTTCAGAATAATTTTCTG